ACCGGAACCGCAGGACAAACAGCTCGTTTCATAGTTTTCACACATGGGAGCGTTCCCGCAATTCAGACACCTGTCCTCCTTGGCTTTACACAACTTCGACAAATACCTATATCTACCGCATTTAAAGCTTTGCTTTAAGATGGGTACCGATTATTCACAGGTAGATTGCAAAAATTGAATTTGATCGCTTTAGGGAGGGCTTTCCTTTTACAATTATTTTTAATGCTCGTTGTGGGAATGAAATCGTCCTTGTTGTTAGGATTTCTGCTTCGAAACCTAACAACGGAATTAATGGGAATATCGGACACCGCTTTTTCAATGATCTGGTTCACATCATACTCAATGGGGCGTTGCGAATAACTCCGAATCCTTCATTAAAATCTTGTAAGCCATTAATATTGAAACTATTCAAATAATCATGAAAGAAGCGATCCGAGTTGATCTTCACACGCTTGTCTTCGACATTTTCACAAGTTTCAACAAAAACTAAGACATTGCATTGCGAAATGTAGTCATACAAATTGATATTGTGGTTTAGGATGGCTTTGGCACCTAAATCAGAAGGTTTATTAACTACCTGTTCTCTGAGCACTGTTAAATCTTTAACTCCTCTTTTTAGAGGTAAATCGACTTCGTCCCTACCCATCCTCGATCTTTTGTTCTGGTCAGTGGCATTCATATAAAAATCTTCAAAATCATCTCTATCTGTAGTAATTAGATCAGACCTTGTCTCCATAGGTAGACAGCCTAATGTTGTTTTAGTTGTTATCCCGGGGAACGCTTACCAAAAATGCGGACGAAAAAAGAAAAAATTTAATATATATATTTTTAAAAAAGGATTTTACAAAATTGCAAACAAGAGAATAATTTTCATTTGAAAATGAATTCGCGAAGGATTTATATCCAATTATGTTTTTTATTTTAGTTTATTTTCAAAAAATTCTTTTCTATTTTAACATTTTGTTCTTTGAAAGGACACGTCAGAAAAAGTTTTTTATCTGCCGTTTGCAAAATCTTTCGTTGTTTCAAGTGAACAGTGCATTTATTGCCTGAAAATTAAAATCTTTACCATAATTTTGCCAAATAGGAGGAATAGATTTTAATTTGGGTTTATATGGCTTAAAAATAAATAACATTTAAATTTCCTAATTAAAATTTTGAAATTTTTTTGGCGACAACCTCTTGTAATGAATGATTTCATTACAATCTTAACAGATAGGGGGTTGACGCAATGAGAAGTTATTTTCCTTTTCAGGTTGCAAACTCTCAAATGGAAAACACAATGGGAAGCTGCGCCACTATACCGTTTTACAGGAAAGTTAATATAAAAACAAGCAAATCTACCTGTGTGGCCGAGTAAGCAAAGAGTGTCTACTAACTACTCAATGATCGTGTGTTCAAATCTCAAGTGCGGTAGAATTTTCAAAAAAGCTAATAACACTTAGATGATAGTGCTTTAAAATTGTAGACTTAGAATATCCGGCTAAATTAATAAAATAAAAAAATAACAAAAATAATCAAGCTTCCTTATTGATTACTGATAAAGAAAGTTGATAAAATATATGTACATAATGTGTATTAGATATATTTTTGTGCGTTAAATCCAATAAAAAAATTTGATGAATATATTTTAACCTTAAAATAAATGGTCTTTATTGCTTGTTTTTCATTCCGTACCAAAAAAATGCATGAACACAAATTGCAAATTGGATTAAATAAAAAAACAATTTGCACTAGTGTAAGGTAAAACATAAGTTAAATAAATAGTTTCGAAATTTAAATTTGTTTGGTAAGTTGAGGACGCGTACAGGGAGGTCATTTATTTGTAGCACTATATTTTCGTTAACAGTAATAGAAATCATCGAGGAGTAACACAGTACGTGTAGATTATTTAGGAATGTGGAGATATAGTGAGAGTAAGTAGCAGTCTGGGAGAGAGAGCCGGAAAACAAGCGAGCAAGATTAGTTTGAGAGTAGAGAA